GAAACACGAACTCCTAATTTTAAGAAAAACAAAGGTATTGGACTAAGCTAAACAGTAGCTTTAACAATACTTGTCTCAATGTACAACTTTTCATTTTCAAGTGACCTTAATAACGTAACACGTTGTAGGTCATTGTAAGTTTAAATTGAGTGAATATGTTGGTGGCAGTGACAATTTCAGAAGAGAGCTACTTTCCAGTCAGTAAATGTCAAAAGTTAATCACAGTTTCCAATTCAGGCCACTTTAAGGGCTGGGATTAACAAATACTTGCAGAGGTTGGGCAAAGAAGAGCTGGGAGCTCAGACTACTCAGATAGGTTTGGTGGAGCAGTAAACCAGAACTAGTAGCAAAGTCCAAATACTTAAGCATTTAGTGTATGCACTCAAATATGTAACATTCTGCAAAAGATTACTACAGTGGTTCTCAAACTGTGGTACGCGTAACCTTAAGTGGTACGCGGAGTGCCGCCAGGTAGTACGCCACATGACCCTGGAACTGTGTTGTGTGGGCTGAAAAATCGGGACGGGTTTTCATATTTTCTATTTTAAGACGTATCGAATACGCAGCCTACGTACTACGATACAGCACGCGCTAATACTTGAGTGGACAGAGCTACAATGTAATTCAATACCACTCTATAGGAATTCATGCTATGAACGTAAGTGACCAATTGTATTAAAAAAAAAACTTACAGTATCTCCAGCAAATAGAGAGGTAGGAGAATGTGCGTGAGTTTCCAACAATGCCAATGTTGTAAACACAGGAATGCAAAGAAATGCGTGCTAGAAACGCTGGTAATCTTGTGAGCACAGGAAAGCGTGATAGATAACAGAAAAATATTCAAGACCTGTTCTAGGTTAATTTGAGAAAAATACACTGAGCGTCTCTTGTGTTTCGCTCCCATGCGCATGAAATAAAAACTTTTTAACTTCTGAGAAACTGCAATTAGATGAGTCTGTAGTCGATTTGGCCAATTTGCTCATATACGATGTCCCATGAGGAGTTTCTGTTCTGTAAGCTGCTACCAACAGAAACTACAGGAGAGCACATATTTCAGTTTCTGAATGAATTTATCGAAGAGAATGGCATCGACTGGATTTAATGCTTCGGAGTTTGTAAAGACGGTGCTAGAGCGATGACAAGCCGACACAGCGGTGTAGTTGCACGAATTAGAGAGGTTGCTGCAGAAATGAATGGGCGCATTGCAACATCCACCGCGAGACCTTTGCCGTCAAGAAAATGCCTGACTATTTAAAATCTGTTCGAATCTGTTGTGAATTGTATCAAGGCTCAAAAAATGAATTCACATCTGCTTTGCTCGACTAAACAGGCTCACCCCTCTCACTGAAATGGTGCTTTTTTATTGTTTATTTTTAAAGGTAATGGGGGCTCCCCTTCACCACCCCCAAGTGCAGCTCCACCTGGATGATGCGATGACAGCCATAGTGTGCCAGAACACTCACCACACTACAGCTATCAGTGGGGAGGAGAACAGAGTGATGAAGCCAATTCATAGATGGAGATTACTAGGAGGCCATGACTGGTAAGGACCAATAGGAAATTTGGCCAGGATGCCAGGGAAACACCCCTACTCTTTTCGAGAAATGTCCTGGGAATTTCAGTGGCCACGGAGAGTCAGGACCTCGGTTTTATGTCTCATTCAAAGGACGGCACCTTTTTCACAGTCTAGTGTCCCCGTCACTATATGGGACATTAGGACCCACACAGACCACGGGGTGAGTACCCTCTACTCACCCCAGCAACACCAATTCCAGCAGCATCCTTAGCTTTCCCAGGAGCTACTGGCCAGGCTCATACCTGCTGAGCTTCAGGGGGTTGTCAGTTGTGAACTGCAGATGATATTGCTGCTAGCTATATCATAACTATACTGAAGATTTTGCAACCTAGTGTGACAGGCCATCATATAATAGAACTCTCCTGACCCAACTATGCATGGGAGCCGCTGTGTGCTGCAGTTTGGCCAGGCTTGAGAGAGACACAAGTGGCTACAGGTGTTATACATAGACTGGCAAGGAGAAACAGAAATGCGAGGGCAGCTACAGGGACACTGTGTGTGAGTGCGTGCTGTGTGACTGAGGTCACTAGAAAAGAGTATGTTTGTATGTGAGTGCAGCAGTGGTCATACTGGTGCTGATGAGTACTGTAGAGATTATTGAAATAATGCTGGAACAGAATCTATGCAGTTCATCAGAACTCTCGGAGAGAGTAAGCAGCAGTATGAAACTTTTAGATATCAGAGGCACCTGGCATGTATGTGTGCTGGAGACACCTGAAAGGTAGCATGGCCTGAATGGCTGAGGCTGTCGGTCACAGGCACTCAGGAGCTGTTTCCAGCATGTTTGTATGAGAGTGTGAATAGTGTGTGGAAAAGACAGTAAGTGGAAAAAAATGCAGTCTTCCCCAGAAGGGGAACAACACGTGAGATCCAGAAGCCCAGAGAGGTGACAGTCAGAATGTTTCTGAAGCATTCTGACACAAAAGTTTCTTCATACTACATCAGGTCTTTTTTACTGACTTTTCATGCCCAAATGACTAAAAGAATGCAAGCAAGTTAAAGTCATTGTGTGAACAGTCTGTGGCCAAAAGGTAGTGACTGGTCTGGAGGGGCTGCCCACCAGTAAGGTGTGTAGCCTTGAGATCAGAGAGCAGAAGACTGATCTGTATTCCACAACTTTGATGGAAGCAGGGTGAAGGTCTGATACACTACAATATATGGCTACATTAAATACAGTCTATAAACACAGTGGTTCCCTTATGATTGTGATTATGTGTCTCTCTTTGTCAAGAGTTGACTCTTGGTCAATGCGTGTTTAAATAGTTGGGAAACTGGAGAGAAGGAGACATCCCTCATCCCTCAACACTACAGTTGAAAAGACTTCAATATAATATATGCTTTCATATCAGTGTTCTTGTCATCAAAGTATCTATAACCTGTTTCACCTGAAATCTGCAACAAGCTCACCAGACACGATCTGTGTATTCTGTGTAATGCACTCTACGCAGCTCTACCTCTAGCAATTTAACTGTTAGGGCATACTGTGGTTTTGATCATATTAAGTCCTTTTAAACTTGTATTAACTTCATTAACTAAACTTTAACTTGTAATAACTAAACTTGTATTTGCTTTCATATTTATTTCTAGCACATGCTGTCCTGCTTACTCCAGCTGCTGCTATGTGGAGGGAGCTAGCATTGGCTTGTCAGCAGACCTCGACTCCACCCACCTGTCACTCAGCTCTGGTTACCATGGCCACCAACTGACTGGAGACCCGGTTCACATGGAGGCAATCACCATCGCGCCTGTCAGGGTGATTTGCCGATATTAAAGGGCTGTACAGACTCTGCTCTGGGCTCTGTTATAGTGTTCCTACTGTAAGCCTCTCAAGTCTTACGTTCCTGTGTCTCCTGTCCTTTGCTTGTTTTGTTTTCCTGATCTTGCTTTGTTCTCTGATGTTTCTCTGATCTTTCCTGCACTTGTAATTGTCTACTATTTATCTCAGTTTGGACCCTGACTTGCTTGTCCTTGTTTCCCAAACATCTCTGCTACAGTGTCTACATTACAATCCTACCTAGTTTTGGATAATGACCATGGTGAGTGTTTGCCTGCACCACACTCCTCAGCCTGATCCCCAGCCTGCTACAGTGCCACACAACCAGTTTGCACATCTCAGTCGCTGCTTGTCAGAAAGCAGTCAACTCCTTGCTAGTATACATGCTCCCTGGTCAGCCTAGACCCTGTAACGTTCAGCACTGCCAAGGTGTTCTTGGTCAGCACACTGCTTGCAGTTCCTATGCGTCTCACTTGCCTTTTATCCAGCATGATCCCACAGCTTTGTGGAACTGTCAAAGAATCAGGAGTTGTAATTGAACCCACTTGCTAGATGAAAGCAGATGTACAAGACTACAAACACTAGAACAGAGCCCAGAGCAGAATTTAAGCAGCCTTAAATATTTTTGAATCACCCAAACAGGTAAGATGGCAATTGTCTCCAGGTGATTCAGGTCTCCTGTCAGCTGGTGGCCATGGAAACTGAGTGACAGGTGAGTGGAGCAAATGCTCCACCAATGCTAGCTCCTCCCACAGAGCAGCAACGGGTTAGAGTATGACACTGCAAGGTTAGCTGCTTTACTGTATATTACTAGACCTATTAATGGTTTCGCCATTATCATAATTAGAAAACTAGCAGAAAAGTTCAAGACAGAGTGCTGATTCACATACCTATATAACTCACTCAATATTTTCTGTGCTGCCTAAAAAAAATCAATATTTAATTGATTTGGTATTTTACTTGCTAGCTTGAAAAGAGGCAAATATCCATCCACTGTATAACAATCACACTGAGTTTATATTAATTACATGATGATAAATAGTACTTTCTTCATTAGGATGTAAACACCGATAATAAATACTGACTGTAATATTGATTAAAGGGAAGTCTTAATACCTAAATATTCTGATTTGTTAGATACAAATTTGATTTCTATTTACAAGAACCAGTTTAATGAAATGTGAACAATAGGATCTAAAGCTAATTAATGTAAGAACTGAACTATGAATATATATCATGACCACACTGTCTTGGTTTAAGACTTTTTTTTAATTTACACTAAAAAACATCATTTTCGAGGGCTAATGTAACTTGTTTTTGGTTCTTTTACAAAAATAAAACACAAAACCTTGATTGTACCCATCAGTTTTCTCTTCATCATTAGACATACAAAGGCATAGAAGAAAAGGAAATAGGAAAAATAAGGAAATATAAATGATAGAAAATACTTTAAGCACAAACAGAAAGAACTTCAAAGTATGAACAGAAAGTACTTAAACATCTGTTTACCCTTTGTATTTACTAAGAAGTTACTGTTTATGTATATTAAATCTATAAGAATCCTTAACGGTTGTTCAATGAAACAATGACAAGTCCTTCAAACAAGTTAAGTTTAAAAGCCAACAAAAAGAAACAAACAAGAGAGCTCACCGCTGGAGAAGGTGATCCGAGGGGTTAGGGATGTCTGGGCTAAGTGCAGAAGCACAAGGAGTAAAACTGTGCCCCACATGAGTTGAGGTACTGCCATGCTGTAAGGCGTGTGCTCCCACGAGGAGACAAGAGAAGATCTGTGGAGCTTCACGGCTGACTGAAAGAAGGCACTGTCGCAATTCATCAATGTGAAAGCTGGTGCTTTCCTGCGTTGGCTCAGTGACTTTGAGCAATACTTAATCTACACTGTCTGGAGCGGAGGTAGCGTCTCTGAAAAAAAGACTGGTTTCTATTCTGCCACTTCCTCTCCCTCCGATCAACTGCTGTCATCTTGAAGGGTACGAGAAGAGCATCTGGGGAGAGAATCACAACATTACAAAGTTAACACTGCATTTCCCAGTCTTGCAGGCAACTCCACACAAAATGAATCCCAGGGTATGTGCTCAGTAAAATAGGTTATGTTATCATGTAGTTCATCCTGTTGTGTACATTATTAGGAAATTAACGTATAAATAAGCACCTGCTCTATACCACCAAGCATAACAGTTGTCTACATTTCTCAACACACATTAAATGAACATCTATCTCAGGCCTGGCATAGCACATAAAACCAAGCAACAAGGCACTGATGTGTTGTCCGCTTTGCTTTGTGCATGGTTCAGTGCAAATGTCTGTATTTGTTCAGCATACATAGTACACCTCTAAAAAGTATGCAAACATAAAACTCAGACTTTTCAAATTTAAGAAAAATATCAAACATTACTGTATTAATATAACAGGACCCCTACAGGGAGTCTCTAATAGAAAATCAAGGTTAAAGTGTAGTTGCTGGACCAGTAAGTGTTGCTGTTCCATACAGATTAGAACTTTCAAACCCATACAGTGGTTTATATAACCATAACAATGCAATGGGAGGTAACTGAATTAGTAAAAAATGAACTTCAGAAAATTGTTAAAATATAAAATTTGGAAGTACCCATTTGGAAGCAGCTATCACATAATTCCACTAATCAGATTATATGATATTTGTACTCTTTTCATTTGTGTAGGACATGTCATTAATGATCATATTCAAAATGAGATGTCCTGTTTGTTCATCAAATATCTGTTTCCTAGTTACTGATGATCTGTTTAATAGTCTCACTTCAAAATATTTTGAGACACTTTGCTAGCCATTTTGCAGTGATTCTCACTTTGATCAGAGCAAAGTGTAAATTCAGCTGTTATAACACCTTCTAAAACCCTCATGAAGAGCACTCTCCCAGTACTGTTCTTTACACTTCTAGAAAATAAATAAAAATGGGGGTTTGAGAAAACTAAAGCCTAGCTTAAGTCATTTATGAAAATGATTTAGATCAAGAAACCTTTTAGACCTTTTCACATTTTTCTCAGCAACTCATGTCTTCTCGTTCTTTGACCTGTTGATTACATACTACACAAAGTAGGAACATCTCTTTTACAATAAAGCACAACATTTTTCTTGATTTATTAAAATAACTGCTGGGGCATGACTCTGCACCTTGGGAAGTACCAAGATGAATCTGTTACTGTACACCTGGGGGAGGAGCTGCTCACAGATCACCATTATCACAGGAGACTGGGACATTTGCACAAGCACTCACCCTCCAACTGGCCTTGTGTGAACAAGATCATGCCACTTACCTTCCAATCAAGCTCCTAATTAATCAGCCTATTTAAGAGTCCAGACCAGTGCTCCAACACTGAGTTGCTGAGAGTCAACAGGCTATCAGTTCTGTGTTTGCCTTGCTGTTCGCTTCAATATTAAAAACCTTTCAAAGCATCGATCCAGCTGAGATTTTCTTTGTCGATTTTTAAATCTTTAAAGATTTCCATTAAAGACAATTCAAGAGTCAGTAAAATGCGAGCCATCTTGTTCAACTAAATCTACATGAATTATTTAAAATTATTTAAAACAGTCCTTGAATGTAATCCTTGAATCAAATGATCAAAGATATTGATTGAAAACTTTCTTTTATTATTACATTCTGAAACGTGTCTGCACACATATATGTCAGAAAACCATATTATCTTCCCCTTTATACATTCTAAACAACATGAATACTATGAATGCTTATTCAAAGCATTCCTTGAGTCTGTCTCTGGATGATTCACAAAGCTTTTTAATCTGTAGTAATCTTTTCTCCCTTTTAATTCCAGAAAACTTGAAAACAGTTATTTAATTTATCCTTCCGTATGTGTGTATTGGAAGTTTTGAACTGTTAAGCATTTAAAACTAGCTTCAGAAAAGAGGAAGGAAATGAGCAAAACACTTAGGAAAGCTATGTTGACATTTTCACTAGTATTGCTCCTTCACAAATTTGGATTTGAGTCTTTCACATGGTGCTCACGTGAGGCTTTTGCTTGTTATCCTTTTTATATTTTCACATCACAATTTTTTGGCATTCTGTAGTACAATGGTATTTAAAACATTAAATCTTACTTTCTTTGTGACAATGCCATGTTTTGTAAAACAAAATTGACAATCCATCACTTTACGCCAAGTGTAAAGAAATGACCACAACATCCACCTTACATGTTTTTAAAAATAAAATATATAGACTCTTGATGTTAGTTAAATGGTTTTTACATTATATAGATTAACTGATCATTCATGACAACAATATACAGCACTTGAGTGGAAATACATCATCTCATTATTGAGAAAGTTGATTGACAGATGTGATTAAGTGATTTAACTTTTTGTAAATTAAATGTAGCAACAATCAAGAACAAAACACAAATTAACAAATTTATCCCACTTATCACAGTAATATTTTCATTCCAACAGTCTGTTTGAGAAGGGGTTAAGTCTAAAGTTGTTTGATTAAATGTCAGTCAACCTGCTCCAAAGAGTTATTGCTTGATAATAACTCTATGTATTTGTTGCAGTTATTAGTGATAAAAAAACTTGATGATTTAGTGATAAAAATCTCAATATTTGATTAAGATACCTTGAAGTCTCCACAAATGGTGAATTTGTGAATAAAGGAACTTAATGCCTTATGGGAAAAATAGGGTATGGTTTGGCAGCTCGCAACACTGTACATTTCTGTAGCAATATTTGTATTATAACAGTTAACTATTTTAGAATTACTGTGAGTAATTATTCTGAGTATTTCTAAGGAAAATTAATACTGGAAACATACAAAAACATTTACTTTCTTTAATTCAATATATTGCATATGCAAACAAATTAGATCACTGTTATATTATTACTTAGGCTGTATTAGAGCTACTTTTTTCATCCTATTATTCACTTTATTCTTTATTTTATTACAGCACAATAATAACAGACAAGACAATAAATTAAGTGAACCCTTCCTTAACCAAATGTCAGTCAACTCTCTCCAGGTCCTGCATTTTGTTTAATTCTCTTTCTCATTATTTCTTTTCTTATCCTTTTCTGCAAAACCAATGAGAACTGAAACTGCGATCATTCGGGGGCCGGAGAGTTTTTTTTCTTCATAATTTATTATATTTAATAGCAAAACACTGAGTCACATAATATATAAGTATTACTCTGATAAGTCGACACACAATACACATCCAATGCTTTCCTGACAGAAACTGAAAAACCAAAGCATAACTCATGATACACTGGCACATAAACATGGTAATGCTTCATTAACCAAGCTGTCTCTTTGCTACAGAGACCTACAGAGAAGTAGATGAAAAAACTGTGGAAGTGGAGCTGGCATTTACTCTCCTAGCCTGCGAATGGGCAAATATGAGCTGCAAATATGAAAAAAGGTGTCACGAGTGGTCATTTTTGCACGAATAGGCAAAATTGTGAATACTGAATAAGCAAAATATTGAGGTTTTACTGTTTATGACTCTCTCCCAAAAATAATGTAATAAAATGCATACAAGCCTTAGATCACAAACGTTCCACAAGCTGGTGAACATGCAGTTCGGTTCCCCACATAATACACTAACTACAAGGTTAGAATATTATTAATAGGTCTTGCTAGATTACGTGACTTGGGTGGCCAAAACTTATTTTTTCCATTGTTTGCATACTGGCCGCTGAACAACAAATTGTACTGAATTAAATTACGTGGGAAATCAGCCTACAATGGAGAACCAGGATTATAAGTCTGTAGAAAAAAAAGCTGTTTGAGTAGGTTACCAATAGAGTTCAGGTTTTGCTGTATAAAGAACACAGTGTCCTAAAATCACATGACACAGAAGTTACATGATACACCGTTTAGTTATCTTAATGACTGTTTTATTAGATTAGGTAGGATTATGTTTTATTTATTAGGTAACTAACATACCAGTTATCAACAGTTAATGGTTCTAAAAAAAAGTCAACAATTCAAAACTATTCACATGACTCCGGTCTACAGCTGTTGTAATATTTTGACTACAGTTTTGTTTCCAGTAAGATTGTAACTCCTTACGTGGAGTCCATGTGCTGAATGAGTCTTGGTTTCCATCTGAATAACTCCACCTGTGCTTTGTTCTTTCTTGCTCAGGACATATTCTCGGCAGCCCTGCTATCATCCTTGTGCATTCATGTTATACTTACCTGTTTTTGCCCAAAACAAAAAAAAACCATGATACAGTTACTCTTCTTGTATACTTAGTTTTCTTAATGATCTGGAGATCTTTAGATGTTTTGCAAAAACAAGAAAACTTTGAAACTTCATCACTGGCTATAAGCAGAAAAGTTATTTCAACTTGAATACTGAATGGACTTTAATTTGACAAACTTTAGTCTTTTCAATTTACAGTATATTTTAAGTTGGCATTTGCCATAAAAACAATGTAAAACAGAACAATAATAAATTTAGAAGAACAAAAGACAGGATGTTGTATGGACGTTAACTGGCAATTATTCATGCACATATCCACACTGTCTGTATGTTTTGACTGAATGCTTTCAAGAGGAAGTCAATCTAAATTATGCAGTTTCCTGTTTAAGTGTGGTTTGTGACACCTTCTGTTTGCAGATCATGTCAACACTAAGCACATTCTTGTGAAAGTGATAAAATTATTTCCACTTCTAGTGGGGAAATAAATATAATCTGCGTACAAGTAACCTTCTCCATTTAACTGGTTTCTAACATCCATCCCATTACAGGGTCATTGGGGAGCCAGAGCCTATCCCAGCAGTCGACAGGCACAAGGCAAACAGGACGCCAGTCCATCGCAAGACCCACACAGACACAAACCCTGGAGCCAATTAACCTACCTGTATATCTTTGGACTGTGGGAGGAAACCAGAGAACCCAACAAAAACTCACACAAACACTGGGAGATCAGACAAACACCACACAGATAGCAGTCCAGGAATTCAGCTTAAGGCCTCACCATTGTGAGCAATCAC